CTTTGAGGGACAAAAACTAACAGCGGAGTGTCGCAACAATGGACTGCCACAATGCTCACATTGTACCCGTCTTCACCCTTCAGCAGTTCGAAAAGCCTTGAAGAGTGAACTGGAGAACAGGAATTAGGTGCGAACATGATGTGAACTCTCCCTCCCACATTCAGTAAAAATTTTCAGAAGCCATCAAAACCTCCTCCAAAAGATTTATTAAACAACACCCACTTCCTTGCCCTAAGCGACTAAATTGACTTGGAGTGGTTTTTGAAGAGAGGCTTCAGATGTCAAAAAGGGGTTAACTTCACTTCACCTCACAGTACTTTACAAGCAAAGCGAAAAACTCCGACTTTTTTGCACCAAAATGCGCTCTATTATTAGTCGAGCCTTGACTATCAGTAGTCAGATAAAATAGATAATTTTGACAGCAGTAGTGAATATTTAGGAATTGGAATAAACAGAGAGAAACTTCTAATGTACTTATTCAGCCCAAACACTTCCCTTCAGTAGAAATCAGGGAGGCAAAAGTAAAGTTCTTTTTTTCTTAGAAAGAAAAATAGTCCCACATTCGACCTGGTGAAAGGGAGTAAACACCCTCCATACCAACTGCTATTAATCAGAGAGAAGGTGGACAGGCAAAAGCGTATTGCCTTAAACTAAGTCAACTGGAAGAAACTGAGTTTGTCATTTGACAACCGTTGGAAAATTATTAACTTTAGCGTAGGAGTGAAAATTGAGTTATTACTTGAGGAGACAATGCGAAAAAAAGCAGCTCAGTTTTGGTGACGAGTCACTGAAGGACTCTATCAGTGGATCTCCACCAGTGGTTGGACCCTTCTGTTGGTTAACGGTCTATCCTTCTGTCTCCACAAAATTTTCGAAACCCCGCAGAAGCAAAACAAATCCCATCTTGAAGGACAAACAACCGAAATTCTACTGCTGGGTAATGGAGGATCGCATGTACTTGGGGTGGGAAGATTTTCGACTATCCCTAATAGAAGGACCACAAATGACATCAATTTACGGTAAACATTCTGGTCCCATGACAAACATAAACATCAGTAAAAATTGAAGCGTCCAGAATAAATCCTGAAGCACCTGAAAGTATTGGATTACAGAATTGCCTGAAGACGTCAACTAAGTCTACATGCGACAGCTCTTCCACTTCTTTACTGCTCAAGAGGAGTCTAGAGAGACAATGGCTGGGAAGGAAGAGAGAGTGAAGGCTCCACCTTATCCCTTGTATGGGTCTGCTTTCCTGTTAGCGTTTATATAACAAAAGATGAATGGAGTTGGTGACTTGCACACCTCTGCATACTCAAATCCAACTCCTGGACAGGAAGCAACTCTAGCCTCAGACGAATTGCCAAGGGGGATCAGTGACGGTGCGGTCAAATATCGCTTCAATTGTGTGTGCAAACTCGATGACTGGTGGAAATGTTTGTGCTAGCCAATGTCGGAGACGACCCAAGGAAAGCATCGAAGAAGACGTTGAAAGGAGAGGAGAAGGCACCTAGTGACTTAACTATCAACTCAGTTTTGGTAATGGACCACATAAGGTTGCTTAGACCATTACGCATCCTTCTAACCACATCAGTGACTCCAATTCCTTCTGTTGAGTGGCAATACGTACTCTGTCTCGTGCATTGTGCCTTCTTTTGTGTTTAAAGAGGCGTCAATCCTCCCCACTCACCTTCTCTCAGTTATTTTGGGTCAGTGGGGACAGATTAATGATTGCACAAGTGCATTGATTTAAATTAGTCACTAAATAGTATGCAATCCAGTGGTGATAAACATGGTTTTGTTTCCTAAACAAAGGTGGACTGCCAAAAAATGACAAACGGACAAGGTGTTCAGTAGTCCTACCTCAACAGTAGTTCTCTTTCCGACTACTAAACAATCAACCACTTCCCTGACCGAAACAGAATGCAGTAGGTTCTACAGGGTTTGTTCCCCTAGGTGAAATGGCAATAAGTCCAGGCATGAAGTTACCAGTTACTATGTAATAGTCGCAGCCTTATTCGCAAATGTTGAAGAATGAGAGGTAAGTAACCGACCCGAGAGGTATGCAGAAACATCCATGCGCTCTTTCAAAAACAACAAAATGAATGAAAACTGTGCACATGAGGCAATGCTTCTTTAAATAGCAGCTTTACCAATCAACTTGATAAATTGGGGACCAAGGCACGGCAGAGCAGAGACAGCGGATTACAAAAAAGTGGGAAGGAAATATGGAAGTAGAACTCGGAGAGGTAGAAATGAAGGGGTCAACAGCAGCAATCATTTTGATGGTTCCACTGATCCACTAGCACTAGAACATTGCAAACCACCAAACTTAGTCCTCCACAAAGTATGCGCAGACGCTTTATAGAAGGAAGCAGACAGTCTAGCACAGTTTTAATACAATTTTCGGTCGCTAATGCTTCAAACAGAGGATTGATTGTTTAGAAAGGGTATGGATAGATAAAAAGCGTAAAGGAAGTGGTCAGCCCATTAGATGTCTTCAAAGAACGCGAAACCATTTGTCCAGCATACTGGCAACAAAGGGACCTCGGCCACCACTCCGCAAGGTACTACCAGAATCACTAACGTTATGGCCACCTTATTCAATTTCTTCTCTGAACTTCCATTTTCTCCTGCTTATTAAATGCCCCTTACATGTAAGAACTACGCAGTAGTTAGGCAAAGTTGAGTGTCACATCCATCAGATGTTAGTAAGGCGAGTGCAATCAGCACAGTGCACAGTTAAATAGCAGAACTGATATACCCAGGTTTCTGGACTTGTTCACGAAGCACGCGGACAGCATCATCGTTGCTCATATCCTCGAAGGAGATGCCATTAACCTCAAGCAGCATATCGCCAGGTTCAATGCGCCCATCCAAAGCAACGGCACCACCACGCATGATAGAGCCCACGTAGATGCCACCGTCACCTGCACGGTTCGATTGACCCACAATGGAGATGCCCAGATAATTCACCGCCTCCATCTTCAGCGTTACCGTCATTATGTTCAATGACATTGTCGAGTCCGTCATGCTGCTGTATGAAGACGCCTGAGTATGGAAGGCAAGGTAGAGATGAGAGCCCTCTCCACCGTAATCTGAGGCTATTGTATTTCAAAATTACGACTAACTGGATGATGACTAGGGGAAACGTCAATAAAGGCAAAAATGTTGCCTCGCGAGTTTCTTCACTGTCAAGCGCATAACTCCACTGATGTCACGAATGTTACCAGCCCTCCCTTGCACCCCCCCCCCCGGCAAGATTACTGGATACCTTCAACAAGGCTATTTATAACCTCCTATCTTCAGGGTTGACTTGAGCGTTACACGGTGTGGCAGCATTTCCCAACCCACTCTGACAGAACAATGACAATCCTGATTTTGCTAACTAGAAGGTATGCCAAACGAAAGGTGCGTAAGAAAAGCATCCTCCTCGGGTGCAGGAGGACTAAGAAGACCACATCAATCTCGACTTTGGTACATTAATAAAAATAAACTGAGAGATCATTATCGAACGATTTGAAATGTTCTTTATAAGAAAGTTAAGTACACTTTAGCCATAGTGAAGCTAGTAAAGCATAACGGTGAGGACGAATAATTATTTTAAATACACATGCACACGCTTAAAGTTTTATGGAGCAGTTTGGGTGCGAAGCGAGTAAGTGTGAACTACCACTCTGTGCACATCAGGACGATCATTAGTGCTGCATTTCAAATGTAAACACCATCGATGCAGCCCACCTGGTAGAAGTCGTTAGCATACCCGAATGGGGCCATAAATGCATGTCGTGCACCCTCCCCCAAACCAGACAGGCAGCACTCATCATGGAAATGTTCTTTTGCCGCCACTATGATTCACGGAAAGGCTTTGGACGACTGAAGATGATGAGAACATTACAGAAATGTTAAGAGTGCCACAAGTGACAAACAAAACTATGCAATAATGGAGTATCTCAATCATGTGCTCAAATGCATGGGAGTTTCGCCACTTCAGTGTCCCAAACACCAAGTGCGATGCATATGACTCTGCTTGCAGTTGCGTTCATCCCTCGCCACATTCTGGTGTCGATCGCTTCGATCTGTGGCTGAATGACGCCATGAGAACAAGGTATGCCTTTGCTTGGTAGGAGATACCCCAGAGAGTGACGTGAGTATACTACTCTATGCCTTTAAATCCTCCTCAATATGGGTAAGGCTCTCTTCACGCTTCCTATAGTCCTTTTTCGGATTTATAACAACTGCCTGCCTCTTTGTATGCCACAAGCGCTACCAATTCAGTAGATGATGATAGCTTCCCTATACCTGAAGAGAGGGTAGGTATGCACGAGGGAGGAGAAGGATTCGGCCACCCGATGTTCGATGTCATGCGCTTGATTGTACCTCCAAGCCACCACTCTACACACCACCACAAATAAAAAAACTTCCAAAGCCTATTTACAGCCATGGGTAAGTAACTGCCATTTTCAGGAAGGAAAAAGGACTGAGACATACTTTTGCTAGTCTGCATTAAAAAAATACAATTGTTTGCTTTTGACAGCCTCGAAAGTGAAACATCACGCAATTGATTCATCGCTTTTAGTAGCCTATAGAAAATAGTTTTCCAAATTGGGCGTCTGGGTGGTGGCTCTTGCAGAAAATGCTAGAAAAACAAGACCTATCTGTATGCTTGAATAAAAACCGACGCTTCATGATTTTTTTTCCTTGCCTAACTGCAACGAGGTGGAGTGTTTTGCCATAAACATCCAGTATCAGATTTAAATGATTTGTGGTTAACAGTTAGTGATTCCTGTGGTTGGACGGTGAAGGCATTGCCTTACTCCGTCAAAACCACTATTTCATGCTTTGGTTGGTGGAAGAGTGCAAAAATAAGTAAGGATTTCGTAAAGATTGTATAGTCAACACAGTTTAGGAGACGTTAGATAACTCGTGTTCCGCTTAATGGAGTCGTACTTCGAGCCTAGAGTGCAGTGCCAAAGTCCTCTCATCAATCAGATCGTCCACACTTTTCATATTTACGTCATAATCATGTCACCACATTTCTCAATGTCCTTCAGTCCAATTCTATATGTTCTGAGGGGAATCGAATCCACCGGAGATAACTTTATTGCGCAATCCCTATTGACATCACCTCAAAACAGAGTAGGGAACATTGTAAGGCATGGAGGGAAGCGAAGCACCAACCCAAACGAGTGGCATTCCATGCGTAAGTCCTGCATCCATAAGGTATTGTTGTAGAGCCCTAACCTGGGACGCAGCACGTGATTTGCCTATTCCATTCAAGAGGATGACATTGTGTTGTGTTGACTGTCAATGGTTTGAATATCGCAAGCCCAAGTCCCCACCTCCTTCCTGTCAGTGTGGCATTGTCATATATGTCCAAACAAAGCCTCTCTGGATGACTGGAGTACTAATTGGGCAAGGCATTAGAGGCTATTTCTCAGCTAGCATTTTCTGGGCAGCTGAATCGACTAGTCGTTACGCTGTCACAGTGAAATTGTCAAACTGCACTTACGAAGTAGGTATCCAAAGAGCTAACGCAAAAAATGACCCAGAACAAGAGAGGGGCAAATGTTTTGCCTTACAAAATGATTTATGTGCATTGCCAAAGCAACTGTCAAGGGAAGCCAAAAAAAACAGTAAAACAATCATTGCAACAATTTTATCTTTTAAGTAGCTTCTCAACAACCAGCATTCTCTAACATGTACAGATGGATCCACTCGAATGAGCACGGAGTGCTGAACTGAAAAAGTGGGAAACGTTTTTTTCGAGAGCACCAAAAGGAAACAACAGATCGTCAAACCGCCTATGAGGATCTATACTTGTGGCGAATTGGCTGTTGCCGGAGCCAGGAAAACCTCACGTTAACTTTATGTTTTCAATTCCAACCCCTCCATTGGTAATGCTAGTTGTCATCAAATTTATGATGGGGATGTGGCTCATATTTGCGGTGTCACAAACCGCAGACTATGCCTCTAACCTATTACAGCCTATGCTCCGTGCCATTCCTGAGGGACCGAGGTGAAGATTGAAGCCAGACAAGGTAACTTAACGAGGCACAGAAGACATTGTCAACTAGTAATCAGTAAAACTGTTAAGGTAGTAGCAAGTGAGTCACATCGTGAAAAGATGATAAAGAGGCTGTTAGTGCACAAGCTGCCGACATCGTTGTTGTTGCTGCTACTGCTGCTACAATTGCGGAGGTGCGTGCACGTGCACACACACACACACACACACACACACGGATGATTAGTGGACAAGGCTAGATGATAAATGTGTGCATGTGTATGTGGAATAAAAAGACGTGTGCGTGCGCCCGCGTGCATGCTTAACCACGCACACGATTTGGTGCACTGATAAACAATACACACATGCACAGATATCCAACAGTCCAATCACTCCTGCTCTTTTCACTGCTTGCCCATCCATCTACGGCCATGTAAGCATAGCATCCTCCCTCCCCTCTTTCCTTTTCCCTTATTAGCAAATTTCCATGGCTTACATCCTCACTAATCCGACTGATGGGCATAAAACGTCGACGGCGCCGTTGTCTGTGAGCTCCGTAGCGTATGGAGGACATAGTCGTCCCAGTAGCCGTAGAGAACCTTCAAAAAAAGCACACAAATAAAGTCTTCCCTTGTTTGTGCATATGGGTAAATTACTTTACATCCTTACAACCACACCCTCTACTAGGCAATGCTAGTTAATTTTGGACAAAGTATTAGGTAGTTGCAAAACTACTTTTCATCATAGGTGGTATGCTTTCAGTCGCACTCCCTCAAAAGCCGCAAATGTCTCCTAGGGCGACTTACCGGCTAGATTCATCCTCCGAATCAAAGAAGCTCGTGGACTCCAAATCGGAGCTAAGCATTGAAGAGGAAGTGTCGTAAATGCTTTGGTTCCCTCTTCCAAGTTTTCCCAGTCTCGAGCCTTTAAAAAAAGTCGGGAAAGGTTACACAACTTTTGCATACAACTAAGCCCAAAAAAGCAATATCGTCTAGAAACGTCAATGCACTTTGGCATTTTGCCCTTCAGAATAAATGTGAAAGAGGAATGACTAATCCAGTTTCCCTCGTAGACCGTATACTTATGCACCAAGCACATGTACAACTGTGTCTTCGTTTCCATGCGTTCAATTGCGTTGTGGGTTTCGCACTGTCGAGTCTAAAGGTCGAGGAAACGACAGAAAAGGCGAGCTTGCATACTAAATAGCCGAATATTTCACCACTGAATTCAAATGAAAATGAGTTATTTGTTATTGGCGTTGCCGATATCGAGTTTCCCATGTATTCACCGGTTTGATACTCATACTGGCATCCAGCTCAAGTCTAGGACCGAGTAACAAAGCAGGAATAAGGAATGAGGGAGGACAAGAAAACTTGCCCTGTTTGTAGCTTTGGAAGTTTCGAAGTGGAGGAAGATGATCGCCACTGCATACTGACTCACTGTCACCGCAAGTTTCACATTCATCACGGTTGTCATTGGCGTTCGCCTTGTTTGAAGTCGCATTTCTACCTGGTTCATCATGGAAATCACCAGTTCTGGCGCTTAAAAGGAAAGAACTTACTAAAAAGAGCAGGACATTAAGCCAATTAATACGCAAACAATACTGACATAGTGAGTCAACCCTTCATAGGATAATGTAGAATTGTACTGGTCAATCAAACAAGTGACAATTCCTGCATTGATAAAGGTGCGAGGCATGACAATGCATGCAACCTATGACAGATTGACATACGCAGAGTAAACGCTGCCGAAAAATCCAGATGTTTTTAAGTCTATTTACAAGCTGACAGGGGTGAGAGTCATCATTGTGATCAGGTGATTCGGTTATATTTTGACCTGCAACTTAAAATACAGCGGCTGCCAAATGTCGTAAAAATCTCAGATGTAGGTTGCCCTGAATGGCAGTAAATTATGAATAAAAATCAAGAAACGGAGGGACTCTGACAAAACCGATGCACTTGCAGTACAGGAAAAGCGTAAAATACTCACACTAATCCATCACCAGTGGAAGAATGGTTGTCCGATTTTGCACTTCCATCGGCGGTGACAAGCTTCCATGCAAATAGAACAAATATAAGCTTCAAAACAACTGTATAAAACTATGAAACATCAATTCTAGCAAGTAAACTACTAAACGAAACGCTCAACCATAGGGAACTAATAATACCAACCAACAAAGTGACGCAGATAACCGTATGAAAGACCATTGCCAAAGCAGATACAAGAAATTTGAAGAAGCGTAGATTAGTAAGAGAAGTAGAATAATCGCTAAGTACTGGGATAATCCCCACTCCAGGAAATAGGGTCAGCTGTGGGAAAAGCCTTGATATCAACAAAGATAATATACAATATTTTTCCAAAATACGTTTGTTGCATAGAAAGAATGCAAGTACATTCAAGTACACGACAAGTGAAAGCACTAGTAAAAGTCAAGGTAAAGGGGACAAATTTGCATGAAGGACAGGCATCAGATAAAGTAATTTAATCTAGAAGGTCGCGCAGTGTATTACTCAGCATAGGAATCAGACGTAAGTATATACAGACAAATTAAATACCTTTAGGAATGACTAAAATAAGGCTAAATATAGGTGTTTACTAATGCGGAAAATGCCATTGAAAATAGCAAGGTCAGACAAACTCACCCATGCTATTACCCTCCCATTAAAACAGGGGAGACAGGCTGAGTCATCACTAATCTCTTCTTTCACAACACTAACGAAAATGCACATCAGAGGCGCAAATTACCCAAAATCAGCGTCAACCGACTTGAAGAAAAACTTGTAATTCGGTCTGTTTAAAGCGGCTTTGAAGTCGCCAAGAGTAACCTTATCCGCATTTACTGATAACTTTACTAGATAAGGTGTGTTTTCGTCGTCTATATGGTAAATAATTTTGGTATCCTCCATATCACATTTAAAGCCGCACAATAGCACATTACATAATAGAGTCACAAGCCTTAAATTAGTCCGCCAACTTATGAAGGTTCGTTTCGATAAGTATAAACAAATGCAGGTCATTTTATATGGTTCGCTTAATATTTATAATTAAAATTTAAAAAATTAAAGGTTAACAAAAATTTTTATTAAACAATGTCTTTAAAACTAAAAGTTTTAGTGTTATTTGGTTTTTAAGCCAACTTTGTTGATTTTAGCTCTCATGCTTCACCTACGCGCATCTCTGGCAAAGGCACCACTTATTTTTAATAATTATGATCTACTGTGGTACGTATTCTTAGTAAAGAAAATAAAACTTGCAGCTTCTTTACGGTCCCTTTACTGATTCATGGACGTAAGAGCTTTAAGCATTTGGGCTAAATTGGTCCCCATAGGTTTTGGCTGATACCCATCAAATGACCTTTCCTACACAGATTGAGGTAATTCTGAGTCTAAATTGATCCTAATTATAAGTATTTACATCTAATATTTTCGCGATGCAGTAAAATTCCTGTAGCGTACTGAGCTTGACGCCGGATAGAAGCAGACAGCAATTATGGCTGAATGGATGTATTCCATGGAGAGCAAAGCCCCTACACCTGAACATGTCTCCAAGGCCGGACTAATCTTAACTTAACCTCCAGACCTCAGGCGATCAAATAAACAAAATAATGCTACTTATTTGGTGATACTGAATGCCTCGTCACCAAATTTATTGTGATCAAAATTAGATTAATTATTGCAGCTTCCCGAGACTTCCCCAGGTAAAAGAAGGTGCTAAGTTAGGCTGAATACATGTATTCTAGGTATAGAAAAGGGATCGGCCTGAGCTTGGCCCCGAAGGCAAGCTCAAACGACTGGAAGGACTTCAGGTGGTCACGTATGCAAGGTACTACAATGGTCCTTTTGTCAAGGTTATGTAATAGCTCGCCTTTTCTCTATCAAGTAACTTGTTTCTCAAATTTGCGTAAATAATTTTTGCTGCAGGTGTGAGCAAAATTACGTAAATTTATCCGAACATCGAGCATTATTTACCTAGCATTAAAAGACCACTTTGTCTGTCTTTACTCAGTTGCATCACACATTAAAACCTGCGTTGTTGATAGTGGTCATTTTGATTTGATATTACTAAACTAAAGCGAATTTGCAAAAATAGGGTTGACCTAGCCTTTCTCCCTTCGTCCACCATGGTAATAACATGTTGACGTATTTCTCGTCGAATACTGTTTATGCCCTTGTCATTTAAGGGTTCCTAATGGATTTGCCTCCACACTTTGTCATCGCACCGGTTCTATAATTGCAAATATAAAGCTGGGCGGCTTACTTCTACCCTCGTCAAGCACAATAAATACACAAGCGTTTGTTGGGATTATCGAAATGCAATTTTTATTTGGAGTTGCCTTACAGACAAAGAGCACCCCTTTGATGCAAACATGATGGGTCACACGCCTGCCATTGATCTCAAAAATGATGCAAATGATTCCTGAACTCACATTAACTCCATGTGACTTAACTGCGTCCAGCCCATCCCCTCAATGCACAAATATGACAGTTGAGTTGAGAGGAGAGCGTCTATTCTCTCAAGCTTCGGAACTAACGGAATGGATGGCTTCTAGAGTGGTTGAATTTAATCGCCTTTGCGGACTCATTCTGCTGTGGGAACCCAAAGCATTTGTGAATTCACAAGTCGTCGGCAAAATTATTCTGTACTTTACCTTTAACTTGAAGCTGGTAACTTGCCTAATAGAGGAGCTGTCTTCATGCTGGCTGACAGTAGACGCACAATGTCAGCGCTGGCGTCAGGCAGTGTCAAATTTACCTTCACCATTTCGCTCGTCTCAACTTGTGCCAAATGCAAAAACACATCTTTTTGGTTCGTCTTGAAACAAGTCGGGCCAGTCCCTACCATTGCCTACGCGTTTTTTCAAACTTGACTTCACTCTGATTATGCGAGAAGGATGAAATGTTTAGAACCCATTGTCAAGTGTAAGGCCTATTTGGACTTGGCATGTGAAAGGTGGTCACACGCTTAGAGACAACAAAGCACAAAAATGCGCTCCCATGTCATTGCTAACGGAAGGCTTTGTTCACAAATTGGCCTGTAATGCCTAGAGAGGAAGTCGAGGCGATTTTAGATGGTTAGCAAGTGCAAAAGTGATGAAAGTTTTAAACATGAGGCATTATTCTCAAAATACATGCTTTTCGGCGATGTCGTGTCTTGCACACGAAAGGCCATTATGGTAATCAGGCCACGAAGCACCTGCCAACTCCATGCAACATGCAATGTCCCTACCTTGTCACGGATTGTCAGTGCTACCAAAGCCTGCAAAATAATGACTTCACGTGCTAGTGGTAGTATCACTTAAAGCTACAACGTGAGCGAGTGTTAGACTGATTTCACCCATTACTCTAAAGGAAAGAGGTAAGAGGTATCAAGCAATTTCAATAGGCTTCGTTATGAAACAGGCTTCGAATATTCCAGCACAAGGTGCTCTTTTACTCTTTAGCTTTAAAATTGTGACTTTTGTGCAGAATCGGGGAAATTGTATCCAACTTGCTGGCAGATTTTATGGTTGAACCTCCGACCGAGGGTGGTTGATTACCGTTTCCCACAAATGAAGCTCTCAAGCTCTCAGACTCTCAACTTGTGCGTCTGTGCTTTTCTTCTGCTCTAAACAAGAAGATGAGCTTTGATCATATGCACCAGGTGTGACACAAACAAGATCTACACAAATTGGCACAATAGCATATTCATCTTTACTGTGGAGCCGCAAATCAGGCTAGATGCCCATCGAACTGCTGGCGAAGCCATACAAAAGCTAATCGTCACATTTAAGGTTTGAGCAACTAGCGTGGCCGCCTGTGCCCCTTTTAGAAGTGTGGGTCAGGTGGGAAATCAGCGCTCTGGGATCGGAGGCAGCCAGTGGCAATAAAATTGGTCCCATCGCAACATTATGCCATTTGACCAAAACATCAACAGAGCTACTTGACAGCAACATCAACCCCTGATTTTAACCTTAGCAAGGCACAAATTGATCTATGATGTACAATGAGATTTGAAATAGGATAAAATTCTTTGAAAAATGTCCATGCTACTTACATAATAAGTAGCATTTTAAACACATTTTAAAATCATCTCACAATTATATGCATTTTAGTTCTATTTAAATTATACTTTTCAGCAGAGTGTTCGGGGAGGGGGGCACCTTGAGTGCAAAATAAAGAGTCGAAATGTTATCGTTGCAGTGAATAGTGTATTTTCCACCAATGCGTTTAATGTGCGAGCTGATAGTTTACTGTCGACCTGGTTAGGACCAAGTGGCGGGTTACATGCCGATTTTTCTATGGTGGTTTCGTTTTAACGCGTCTCAGCGCTCGTCTCACTGGAGTTCTGTTTATCTCTGGCCCTAATACTGACACTAACAATGTCCTTTTTGCAAACAGGATCAGCACACTTCATTTGTTTGCTGTAAACATTTCCGCGCTTTAAGCCGCCGATGGCGGGAGGCGGAGAATGTCACAAAGTAAGGCGACATAACAGCATGAGCTAAAATGCACCAAACTGATTGCAACATGAGCCACATTTGAATAGCAGAGAGGGATGTCGACATTGCCCCCGCAATCCACCAGAACGTAGTGAGGAGCGATCACTCGCGAGGCGAATTCTCTGTTTTTTTTTATGGCGGAAGGCATTTTAGCGCTTGCCTGGGACTTTAGTTAAGGCCTTTGCAAAGGAGCGAAAGGCGTTACACCAGGTAAGAATAAATACTTGTGCCAAATGTCTACCTATAAACTTCGGCGTTTTGTCAAACGGTGCCTTTCTTAAAAGTACAGCACAAGGACAAACGTGTTTTCTAACGAAACCAATTTTAATAAATAAGAAGTGTGTTTTCTGTTGTTAGCGATCTATCTACCACTTCACGTCTTCATTCAATCACAATTACTTGAAGACCACACCTTCGCTTAAGCATAGTCTAGGGTCATAAAAAAACACGAAATGAATCACTAAACCAGTTGAATCTTCGAGTGCATAAAGTCTCTTATGCATGGTACAGTTTTTGGAAGAACCCACGGCTGTGCTTAGTCATGATCACTTGCGAAACCGCTGCTTTAATAAAACTCTTAAATGAGCTTAAGTGTAGAGGGGCTTTTAGCACACTCCTCCTCATCCCCCAATAAATTGCAGTTGAGGTGTCAATCTCAATCAAGTACTCATGTTGTGCCATCGAGCCTCGGTGATTAATTGTGGAGCATCTGGAATACCTCTTTTTCCACCGAGTCCAACGATGACGATCACGCAGATGCTGCCGCTGATGATGGGAATGACGACGATGGCTGTGATGATGATGAGGAGGAGGAGGAAGAAGAAGAGAGGAAGGGATTGGAGAATTTGCCGCTGAGGTCGATGTGGCAAGGGTAGAGGCGATACTAATAACACCTTTAAAATGGATTACCGAATCCACAAATAAGTTACAATTTAAAATTTTCCTTTTTGCAATTAATCTTTGTGATAACGTGATGTTAGTCAGATGGTGCTTTGGAAGGCCAGCAGGTTCCGTGTCATCACTTCCCCTTCTTCAGCCACAAGTTCTGCTTGTCACATCCTCTTTGCTGGTGGAAATAGCAACTTGGCATGCGACATTAAGACTTGTCCAATAATTTATCACCTATGGGGCCCCTTCTGACCAAACTCTTTTTTGAAACCTTCAATTCTAAAAGTCTTACGTGCTCATATAACACCTCAGCATGGATATATTTGATTTTCTTGTCAGAAACTTGTCTATTCTGTCAAAAGAAATTGCAATAAATCTTCATCATAGTTTCTTAAATCGCTGTTAATGAAATCGCCGACCGATATTTCTAAGGTCGTTTTAGGTTTCCCACTGCTGCGATTTGTTAACTTTGATTGCTATGGCATAACAACCAACTTATACCATTCTACAAAACAAACTTATTCTCTGGTTCTCTCTTTGGCCAGAAGAGAATCGCTGGCACCGCTGCTAGCTGCACACACACACGAGCGAATCAACAACGTGCGCGTTCGCGTGCGTGCACACGTGGGAGCGCGTGTCAGGCGTAAACACATGCCATCCATCTCGTGGTGGCGGTGGTAGCAGCGATTATTGCGGGTATGTGCTACTCTGCTGTGCGCGTTTAGCCTCGGTACCCTCACATCGGACTTCCGCTTACTGCATGAACTCGCCTGCCTGTACTGCTGGGTAAGTCCAAACTTGTGCCCGGTGGCGTTGACATGTGTTGGGCCTTTTTTGTCATTCAAACCGAGTCTTATTAGCAGTCTGTTACTAAGTTTTAAACCAAGGTCAGAATCTGATCGACTTCACCACCCATGACCACTAAAAACACCCCATCCACATCACTTCACAAGATCTCATTCTCACGAACTGCTTTTACAACCTTTTTTGTTAATGTGTCTATGCCGTTACAAATTCTTAGCGAAATAAGGTCGTGCCAACTTCTGTATAGATTTGATTTTTCTCTCAGCTCATAGTTTGACTATCCCCAACCACAAACATCAGCATGGCTCGCACCGTGTTCCGATTAAAACATAAGCAGTAATGCGGCTGTGACTCGGTCTCCGTCGTGGTTCCAACCGTTGTCTAGACACACCTCCTCTTCCCCTGTATTCACAATCTACCACCACGCTGTTTGAATGAGTAAATTGGCGTTGATATGACTGAATGATTGGTTGGCTGGCTGGCTGGTTGGCACCAACAGAATCAAGGCAATTTGATTACACCCAATGACAGTAGTAACCCACACCGCTAATTTGGCATTAGTCGTGAAACCGCTACCTCCATATGGGCTGCTAACTGACCGCTTACTAACAAAAAAGGCAAATCAACGCTAGTTTGAGACCTACCATTCCTTTATCGCACCAATCCAAAGCGACAGATCGAAGAAGAGGCCGTCTCTAGTCTGCTTATCACTGACTCCATATTCATCACCATCCGTTGGGTCACCTGTCCACCTGTCGTTTCACGGACAGGCTCCAGCACCAAACCTTGTGACATGACGGGTTTGGGGGGCGAGGAATGGTGACCACCGCTGCGAGCTTCATTTAACTACTCCAAGGTTAGGGGATTGATATCGCAATAGTTCTCCTCGCAGCATCATGAGACTCAGGCAGTGTAGGATGTAAATAATTTAATTTTCATCTGTCAAGCCTCAAACAATGCAATTAAAGTTCAGTAATGCCTCCTGCACTTGGCACTTTTGGCATCCACTGCCTTGTGGAACTCTAGGCGCGATCCACTAACTACAACTTTTTATTTTTAAACCGCGTGAATGTTTTGGCAGTCCATTTGCATTCCACTGTCAGGCCTCAGGAAGTGTATTTATTTATTTATCTAAATCTGCACCTCAACTAATCAAGTCGAGTATGCGCTAGCCTTTGATGGGAAGTGGCATTGTTCCTTGTAGGGTCATGCAGACCGGTCATGAGGTGGACTGAAGAGAAGTTGACAACTGATGCCGCAACAAATTCGTCACCCCACCGAACCGTCTTAGCCATCGTCTTGATCTCTTGTGGGTTTCCAGAAATGAAGTCAGGCCAATGTAGAAAGACCTACTGACTTGTTTGTCAGCTTGTCGAGTTGATTGCTTTGCGAGGCAGTAATGACTCTACCCGATGACAGAATACGACCCACCCTTGTCACCACAGACGTCAACGTCAAGAGCTGAGGCTCCACAATTTCATGCACACACGCAGCATAATGGAAAAACCTCAGTTGATTTCTCACACAGTCTGTCAGATGTGCGAGTAGATAATTTGAATGAATAGCTGTCAAACACGTCTTCTGTCAATGACATGAAATGTAGGCCTGGACAGTAATGGTGATGAGTCCACACTGACAGCTGTCTAAGTCGTAATGCATGTCTGCTTTCCAACAGTTGATTCAATTCTATGAAAACTTTCTACATTCATATGTAAAGTTACGCACTTCTTCCGTCATCATGGTGATGTCTTCTGCTTTTTATCCCACATTCGCCCTACCCCCTCCTCCCTGGAGTCCAGAGACTCCTCTGCACTTTCCTCATGGACACCAGTGATCCTGCAAATTTCATTTCAGACCCATATAGGAGTTTAAACTCAGTCCTGCGAAATGAATGCCGACGTGATGGAAAGGCGGCGGAAGGCGACGGAAGAGTTGATTAGTCAAATAGAGGGATGCCTAACGGAGCGTCTCTTGAGGGAACAACTCTCTGACCTCTATCATCCAATTCCTGCTCTCGTGCCTCAAATCTCTGGACCCTCCTCCGTTCGTACAGTTTGTTCATCAACAAGTGAATGTAAGGGCTGGCCAAGTTCTCGTTCGCATTCTCTTTTTAAATTCATTTACACCCATTAGTACCGATCCCCAATTCATCACCATCAATGGGATTGCTATAGACAATTCAAAGCACAATGAACATGTCAATTTTTGTGCAGAGGTAAGGACTTTTCTGGACCACGTAAGGTGCCTTTTGACAAGCAATCCTGGCTCACAAACTTTAGTAGTCATGCTTCCTAAGGTGGCGTCTGAACCACGTCGTCTCCATAGCACAGTCACAACAGCCGCTTGTTTACGGCAATCAACAACAAACAGTCTAGACAACCGTCGCGAGGGCGTCCGAACTGAGTTTTGAAATGCCTTCCGCATTTCGCATTGAGTGGGTGGTCCACCTCCCACATTTGCTGCTTGGCCGCATTTGAAAGGCGCTGGTCAGTTTATGACCGCAAAAACTGTCACACCTAACAAGAGCGTGCACCTTATCATTCAGCTATTTACAAACCGCCTCCGTTGGATCACAAAAGGGTAGTAAGGCTTAGTTATCGTCTTGGATTGTTCTAAAAGTGTGTCTTGGCCCCCAAAACTTGACTTTTAGCTTTATTTTTTGGGTTGATGACAAAAATATGAACACATTCCAAATGCTATAAATGAAAGCCGAAAAACATGCTGCTTATTTAAACTCTCGTTTGTTTGACCAACCTATCGACGTTATCGTCCGTAATGTTGGACGAGTGATAACCTTTGTGCCGGCGTGGTCTCCATCGCTTTGCTCGTACAAGTAAATTCGGATACACGTACACGCACGCAAACATACACATTTGCACAGGTAACTTTGAAATGATAAATAAAACGTTGAATGAACTGTCAACTAAATAGACCAGGTGATCTCGAAATCGGTGCCATATGTACAGATCCAAAAGCAGTTTGGCATGCCTGCATGTCGCTGAGGTCATATGCAGACGCCGGAGCTTCGTGTGTGTGTGCGTGCGTGTGAGTGTGTGTCTCGCCTGGACGAATGAGCGGGTGAGCAGCGTACAGTCTCGACGTATGAACGCAGGCGCGTGCTCAAGCTGCGACCTAATGAGAGGTGATCACCGTGCCAGCTAAGTCGACACAATTCAGGCGAGCTACTAAACCATCACCAGCTGCTCAGTTAATACCACTAGCTTGTCATTTATCCCAGCTTCTGCAAGGTAAAGCCACACCTACTAGTTTTTTCCCATTTTATTCACTACCGTTTGGATTAACGGTGCTGTAGCGTGTTTTTAAGACCTTGTGCTGATCACACTTGCACCATTAATACCTTTTAAAATGAATCTAAGGGCCAAAAGTCTATTACTAGGCAACGTTGAGCACTAGGACTAGCAAATGATGCTACTTTTTAAAGCGTCTTTTTTGTCTCTCTAATCCAGCTTTTAAAAAAGCAACACTGGACTCTCCCAACTCTGCCTTGGAAAATATTCCACCTACAAACACAAATCAACCCCAGATTTTGCTCAAGGCTGCCAATACAAACCGCTTAAACGAGGTAAGTAAAGGCTTAAGGTCACTTTTTCAAAGGTTTTTTGATAATTCAGATTTCTTCATTGATCCTAACCTATTTTTAGCAAATCCTTACTCCCACCGCCCAAAAAAACCCATTGCTGCATAAGTTGGCCCTCAGGCGTTTATTTGAACGTGAAAGCTTAAAAAGTGCAACAACTTTTTTCCTCTTAAGTTGTTTATTGTGACAAACTACGATAACATGCACAGTTAAAAATAGTGGTGTTCACTTTAGCACCTGTTTTCGACTTAGAAAACAGCAAATAGTAAACTAGAATTGCGCTGTTGAGTTGCTACCATGACAGTCAAAGGTCACAGAGTTAATGAAACTATTGTCGTTGTGCTAGCGGCATTGTAAGTAAGTTCGTAGCATATAAAATTCACAACTCTTTTGATTTTAGTGTAAATCTCATTTAACGTTCACAATCTCGTAGGTTTGTCAATGCGTCTTGGGAAACTAACAAGCTATTGTGATATTCATGAGATAATTAGGTATTGTGATTATATACGTTTGTTCAAACGTCAGTGCGGCCGTTATAAATTGAAAACCGATTTTTGTGCTTCTCGCTTCTGGCGTTGCTTGAAATGAACGTATCGCTTTATGTATGCAAGACGATCGTGAAAAGTTCTGTTTTCTAGATTGATTTGATTGTCGACGTGTTGATTCCAAGACCAACCTATTGGTACTCCAACATTGCTGAGGTGCGCTTTAAATGACGCAGCACTGCGCAGTCCCGACCATAGTGTTACTTTTGAATTTAAAGGAATTTACTAAAGTTCTTTCTCACGAGTGTCACAGCATCATAATTCATCTTCCTGGTTAATCTCACAAAAAAAAGCGTTATTGTGGCAGCTTGATACGGCTTCATGGATGAGAGAACGCCCACTACTTGAGTTGTATGTACATATTTAAGGAAGAGAGAAGGGGATTGGGAGGTCAGCCCACTCAGCAGAAGCAGTATCGCCACTCAACTAACCGTAAGCAACACCAGCAGTCAAACAAACAAAATATTGCGGTCATTACTTCTGAAGAAGCTTTTAAAGCTCCGTTTTGGGACTGACTGAAGAGAATTGGAACTTGGAATAGGAGAAAAGTGTTTCAACCAATGAGGGTCGTCCCAAATTACCAAAACTAACTGACTAGGTTTTCAGCACTCTATCAGTTAGTTTAATGCCATTTTTGGTGTCGACTATTTTAAGTACCACTTTCATTCTGTTCCTTTGAAGCGCAACTTTGCTTTTCCTAAGCATTTTCAGCTGCCAAGGTCCCGATTTGTCACAGCATTCTCAAACGCACAATTTATTTGATACTTCCATGATTTAGGTCTTTCTTTGAGCTCATTAGCCCAACAACGTGACTTACTGTCTGGGTCCATGAATGCAGAACAATATGATTCGCCACATCGAAAAAGCACTTCCTTAATCACTATATCGCTATTGTAAGATGAATCAGAATCCTTATAACCTTACTTCCACTAGAGATGACTGGAATTGGACACCAAAATGGACGCACTGGTGACCCAGACGCGAAAATAAGCTTGAGCTTGCTTTGGTAATGCACAAGGCAACTTTATACTAATTTCAGGGTAGCCACGGTAAAAAGGATCGTTTAAACCCAAGAGACTTGCCCTCCTACGCTTCCAAAACTAATAACATGGAATCTAGCGTGAACTGGCGGCTGCTACAGCAGATCAGCTCCCGAAATACCTCGAAATTTACTCAAACAAGTGGAAAGAGAGTTCCGCCTTCTGGTAGTCATGCTTCACCTCTAAATGATATGCAGTACTGGGACAAATCCCCTTCATTGGCTGCCTCCTCCGCCACAAAGTCCGCTCTTAGCAGGCCAAGTATGGCCGAAAACAAGGGCTTGTTAACCGAGGACGTCAGGTCACGAACCATGTGGGTCAAGAGTTCAGACAAGGCAATATCTGAGTGAGTGATTTTTTGTGCCGAAGTAAGATAAAAAGCTCTTCCAGTTACATAAACTGGTGCTGAAAACCGCAATTATCGATATTTGCTTAGATCCTTTGACAAGAAGGAGACCAATGAAAGGAGGCAAAGGGGACCCTCTCAACCAAGACGAAACCTTCATGAAAGTCGTCCACAAAAACCCTCAGAGTGCCTTTCAGAGCGACAATTAAACGGCTACAGATCACTGCAACGGCGCCTGGAGTACGATCCTCGAGCCTCCGTCGCGAAAGAACGCCTCAAATCCAAAATGGGGGAAAGTCGTAAGTGAAGACGTCTTTAGATTAAGCAAACTGTGAATAGATGGGCATAGATGACTTAACTTTGGTGAGGGATCAAAATATTTATTTACCTATACTTGAAGGCAACAACAATGTCGATGGAAGCTGTACAACACCCGCATCAAATAGGGACGGTGAAGTTGGAGGGTCAGAAAAAGTGAAGACCACTTGCAGGCAATCTTCCGTCGATTCCAAAGTGCTGTCTCTATCGGAACAGAAGGAATTCAAGGGTCTGACACGGAGTACCAAGTCCTCAGCGCCTCGAAGTCAAGTGAGTTAACTTATGTCAAGCATGTGGATGCTTTGTTTTTACTACCACATTCAAGTATGCATAGCACAGTGGAGCCGCGATAAAGCTTTAAATCTACCTCAGCCAGCTGAGTGGAAAACGATTGTCGAATGCTTCTTAAGCCTT